TTTTACAAAACACTTTGGGGCCAGGTCTAAGAAGGTGTTTTAGACTTGAACCTTCTTCATTTGTCTTCAGTTTGTCCACATTCCTCATTATTTAAGAAAATACTGCCCAACAGACTATCATGGACAAGATCCTAAATATTAAATATTATGGAGAAATATTATTCAAAGCCACTATAAAAATATTACACAAAATTCTGGCTGCTTGGATACAAAATACTGAGGAGTTGGGGGTGGTTTCAAACTTTTTGAACAGTACTTTATGTACAGACATAAACATTCACTTGACAACTGTTGTTCAGCTCATCTCTCACCCCAGCTCTGGTCCGATGAGGGAGTGTCTCCTGAGCATGGCTCGAGCCTGAACGTTGGTCAGGTTGGTGGTGGGCTCGCCGTTGATGGCCAGAATGAGATCGCCGACCCCCAGCCGTCCGTCACGGCTAATAGACCCCCCGTGGATTATACTGCGGATCAGCATACCCAGACCATCTTTCATGGCACTCACTGTCATGCCTTTAAGACAGATTGCCGAAGATGGTTACTTTGTTGTTTGTAATTTTTGTACTTATTAAAATATTAAACTTTATTTAAAATATTTTCCCTAAAAAATGGAGCTCTATCTAAATCTATCAAAAACATTGTTCTCTAGGAAATCTGATTCAGTATACTTGCTCCGTTTTTGTGTTTTTTATGGTGCATTTTAGCTACCATTCTGAAATTTTTAGGTTTTAGCTATCCTTTTGGAGCTAGCATTCTGCTACTTTTAGCTAACCTTTTGCTATATTTGGCTATTACCTTGCCTTTTCATACTTTAACTTTTGGATAACCTTTTGGTGCCTTTAGTTAGAATTTCACTGCTTTAAACTTTGAGCTAGCCTTTTGTTACATAAAGGTTTTAGTTAACATTCTGAAACATTTGGCTTTTAGCTAGCCATCTGCTATAATTAGCTTTTAGCTGTGCATTTGATACCATTAGCTTTTAACTAGCCATTTGCTACATTTAGCTTTTAGTTAGATATTTGCTTTATTCAGTTTTAAGTTAGACATTTGCTACAATTAACTGTAAACTAGGTATTTGATACAACTAGATTTTAACTAGGTATTTGATACATTTAACATTTAACTAGGTATTTGCTACAATTAGCTTTTAGCTAGCCATTTGCTACATTTAGCTTTTCGCTAGACATTTGCATTTAGTTTTAAATTAGGCATTTGCAACAATTAACTGTAAGCTAGGTATTTGCTACAACTAGATTTTAACTAGGTATTTGCTACAATTAACATTTAACCAGGTATTTGCTACAATTAGCTTTTAGCTTGCCATTTGCTACATTTATCTATTAGCAAGACATTTGCTACATTTACAGTGTTTCCCCTAGATAACTTGCCATGGTGGGGCGCTCATCTCGTTCGTGATTTTTGTCCGGGGGAGGGGAACGGAGACTTGTCCTAAGCTGCGCTGCGCAGCGCGCTATTCAACCCGTTTACGGGGGGGGGGGACACAGAGGCAGCCGCACGCTGTTTGTACTGACAGTTTTAGACCACGGTGTCTGAGAGGAGAGAGACAGACACACATCTCAGTCGCACGCTGTCTGAACCGATTTTTTATTTTTTTTTTAGCGGGGGGGGGTGGTGGGGGGAGAGACTGTTGCGCTGTTTGTACCAACAGTTTTCGAGTGGTGGGGGTGCGTTCAGCGTGAGGGTTCAACATGAAGGAAGAGGTTGCCTTTAGCTTTTTAGCTAGTGCACCTGCTTTGCGAGCCGCTAGTTTAGCGTTACGTCAGTGCAGACAGGTGGTTGGGGGTAGGGGGTGGGGTTCGGTAGACGGGGCGCTCGGTTCTGTTGACGGGGCGGGGCGCCCCGCTTGTATAATGGTAGGGGAAACACTGATTTGTCTATTAGCAAGACACTTGCTACATTTATCTATTAGCTAGTGTTCTATTTATTTTGGCTACAACAACTTAGTTTCAGCTTGTTTATCAAATGTCAGTGGTTATAAAGTATGTCCACTGGATAAAAATAAAAATCTGTAGTTTGCTTTATGCCCCTCAAAACAGCGTTTGAAACAGTAAAAATACTCATAAATGTGTCTTTCAGTGAAGTGGAGTGAAGTAATTTATCTGGAAACTTGTCTATCTTTTCGTGCCCACACAGAAGGTTCTTATCTTTATTCAGGCGGTGTTGAAACTAAATGTCAACTCTCTAGTGAAGCAGCTCAGTGTGTGGAAGATCATTTGAAGAGATTATGAAAATATTCTTATTATATACTTAGAGCTTGAATTAAAGTTGGCACAAGTGTTTGCTGGAATCTGAAACCCCAAACATTTTATGCAAAATATTCCAATTGACAGCCATGTAAACAGGCCTTCACGGAGTGAAAAGAGAAACCGTTTTCGGCTATGAAAAGATGATTTTAAACACCTATTTGTTTTAGAAGTTCAAACTTTGTATTTTCTATGCCTGCAGCAGCCCCTTGGGCGAGTTTTTGAAATGCAAATCTTTTGTATCGCAAAAGATTTACCCTTTGAGTGGAAAAATACCACAAATTGCTTCGATCATTTTGCCTCAAAAGTGAGAGTTTTAGAAAACCGAAGACAAAAGTAAAAAGCCAAATGCCCCTTTCAAACCCTGAAGGCTCATTACCTCTCCTGCGGAGGATGAGAGCAAAATAAATAAAAAAGAACAAATATATTTAAAAAGGAAGTGAAGGTAAAAACACAAACCAAGGCTGCAGTTGCCCTTGACAACTGTGATAGTCCTTTCGAAGCTGCTCCCGGGGGTCAGCGCCGCTTTGTCGCCGTCTCCGGCAGATTCTTTCACGCCGGCGTCCTTGAAGGCGATAATTCAACACGTTTATTCACCGCGGTAAATTAAAACACTTGAGCAGATTCCAAAACCGGGCTTGCGTCTCTGAGGCACATGTGGGTTTAGTGATTCGACCGTGAGAATTAAATTGAAAACAAACATTCTTAATGTTCTGTAGCCAAGTTTTGACAGGTTCTGACAGAGAATGATTTACTGTATTTAAGATCACTTTTTTTTCCACAACTTGTCAAATCAAACCTCAAAATATTTACCTTCAAAGTATTTCCAGTATCTCCAAATGAAACGGCAGATTCCATCTGACATTCATTGGCCTCCTGGACGGCGGCTCTGCCTCCCATCTCAGAGAATGGGCTGTACGAGTCGGAGCGCTCCGCTGGCTCTTCTTGGCTCGGCTGCCGGGCCAAGTATTGATCCGAGCAGCTTAGGATGGCGCTAATGGCTGGGATGTGACCCGTCAAACTGGCCGCAGCGTAAGAGGCCGACTTCTCCGAAGAGAACGCCGGAGTGTTGTCTGCAAAGTTCGACGAGGCTGCGAAGCTCAGGTCCAACACGTCGAGGCGAGCTGTCAGCTGGAGGGAAACAAAGCACAGCGGATGAATGGACTTGGGGAGAATTCATCACAGTCAGGCTCCATCCTGCTCAGCTTGTAATGAGCCTCAGAAACACCATCAGTGGTGGGGAGGAAGAGGCATAAATCACTGGCAGCCTGAAAACTAAAAGCCACATTATACTGTGTATACTTTTTTTATTTTTAATACAAGAGCAGCTGGGCTTTGTTGAGCCAAATTACACAATTTCCACAACAGCAGAGGCTGTAGATCTACATTTAGTAAATACTTGACGTCAAGGGTGCCCAATACGTCGATCACGATCTACTGGTCGATCGCAAAGGTATTATGGGTAGATCACATGGCATTAAACAGAATAGATGTCAGCCTATCATCTAGCCTCAATATGAACTTTGTCACTTGATTGACATACAGGCAGAGTGGAGATTTTTGGGGGAACTCCCCATGGAGGTGTGAAATGCCCCGCAAGTGTGAAGTCACTACAGGCGGCTGCAGTCCAAAGTTTTCCTGCACTTACAGTTATAATAAATGGCAGAGTGTTTTTGTGTTGCTCACTGTTTTTGAGCATGTAGGATCAAAACCAACAACATCCTAGGTCCAAAGAGACGTTAGTGTTAGCAGTTTGGACGTAACTGTCAAGCAGACGCTGCATGCACATTGAATGTAGATGAGCCCTGTCAGGGTTGCCAGATAAATGTAAAATGTCATATTTGCCCCCTCCTTTTCTGTGCACATGCTCAACAAACACAACACACACCTCATCTTAGATTATTTTTACTCAGTATATGTGACAGTTTAGGTCAAAATACTATCATTTTAAAGTGACAGTAATATAGTTCATAATTTCTTATCTGGCAACAAGAATGAAATGGAAACTACAGCGTTTTCATGTAAACTCGTTAATTTCTTGTTTCCCCAATAAACATTGAAAAAACACAAACGTTTTCATAGGTTGTTCCCGTGTAAACAGGGCCTTATAGTAGATCACTTTGACTTGGTCATTTTAAAAGTAGCTCGCATAATAAAAATGTCTGGGCACCCCTGCTTTAGGTGCTTCAATAAAATCCCTCCAGTGGTTCACAAGGTATTTTGCTAACAGGTTGACTCCCACAGTTAAAATAAAACGTTTTAACCTGCTGAGTGCTTGGAGTGTATGCAGGGAACGACTCAAGTAGTAACACGACAAATCTTTGCTCAATATCTGTAAAACTGACTGATCTGGAATCCATTTTTGTGTTTGATAATGTTGATCAGCCCTGGCGGCCATCTTGAATCGTTCATCCAATGATTACTTTCTGAAAAGTTCAATAACATCTGTCTGTTGGTTCATGAGATATTTTGCTAACAGATGGCAAAAATGTCACAGCCAAATACATGATTACCTGCCTTTCACGGCAGCGAGCGATAACAAGGTAGCTATGTAATAAAAGCGTGGAACAAAATGAAGATACGTGTTAGTATTTATCAATAAAACGCAAAAGCTGAGGAAATAAAATGTTTTGGTTCTCAAGGTTGTATCAATAAAGTTTGAATATCTGACCTCAACAAGAGACTTTTAAACATTTTTTTTTTTTAGTGATAATACATAAACTCTGCTTTGTGTGCTGCAACACAAAAGTTTAAAATCTGTTAAATGCAACAGATTAGGCTCAGCCTTATAATATAAAATAATGTAAAAGGAGCAGCAGCTAAAGTCAGCGCTGACCTTAGGGAAAGATAAAAATGTGCCTGACCGTAGCTCGTTTTTATTTGATTTTATATAATTTAACATTTATTTAGAAAGCTGTGACTTCTGTGGCACCAAAGGCACATTCTTCAAATACCAAAAAATAATAATTATTGATTAAAATAAAAATAGAAAGTCATGAGGTGAAAGAACAGCAACAAAAAACAACATGCTGTATACCTCACTGTATTTAGCTGAATTTAGGGAAGAATTACACATTTTAGCACAAATCACAACTACAACAAAAAACTTTCTTTACAGCATCAGGAATAAATGTGGATCACACGATTCTCTGGTGAATGATGTGCAGGCTACTCCAGTAAATGACCAAGAAAAGCTAAAAAATCTGACTTACTATCATAACTCTTGAACACATCATAGTAAAGCAGCTAATTTGTGCTAGTACCAGTACGTGTAGGGTGTATAAAGTTTTACTGAGGAAACAAGCAGTATGCCAATGACCCCCCCCCCCCCCCCCCAATTGCTGAGGGATTTGAATAGTGAATGTTTGTAGTTTTGGAATGCAAGGAAACCTGAATGTTTTTGATACAAGATATTCAAGTAGGTAGGAGGTGCTCTGTGTATTTATTTGAGCAGGTGAAATGTTTGAGAACTGGTTCTCATTTACAAACATGACCTGGAATAAGAACAGAGGAGGGTTTTTTGTTTGGCCATGGAGGAGCAGAGTGACAGATTCTGTGGAGTGGAGGGAGCAATTTTATCCACCACCAGGGGAAACGTCGGAGCCTTGGCGGGGACCAATGGAGGCCTTGGCCATCATAGATTAACCACTGGCCACCCCAATCGTTTGAAGGAACTATACTTTCAAGCAATATAAAAATTTAGACGTGGCAAACCAATTTATAACAGGAACCTTTCTTACACTTGGATACAGCCACACACCATTCATTCATTCAACCTTTATTTACACAGATAAATCACATTGAGCCTTGAACACTCATTTACAAGTGAGACCTGTTTGGACAGACAATAAAAAGTGGTGAAAAATGACACATGGGGTTTGGAGACAAAAAAAATCCTAACGTGCTCTTAATCTTTGGCTGAAGGTCAACAGCATGATAATGAAAACAAATCTCTCACACGAGCACATAATGATGCTGCCATTCCTCGGGGGTGGGGGGGCGCAAGGGCGGTGAGCATTCCAGAGACGACACACAGAGGAACTAAAATGGAAGTTGGTACTGAATTTAATTCAAAATCTTACTTCTAACCTACAAAGCCCTCAACAACCTAGCTCCATCTTATATTGCAGCTCTTATTGTTCCATATTTTCCTAACAGAGCACTTGGCTCTCAAACTGCATGTTACTTGTGGTTCCTAGAGTTTCCAAAAGCAGAATGGGAGGAAGATCTTTCAGTTATCAGGCTCCTCTCTCGTGGAACCAACTTCCAGTTTCTGTCCGTGAGGCTCACACATTGTCCAGTTTTAAGACTGGGCTTAAGACTTTCCTTTTTGATAAATCCTATAGCTGGCTTGGGTTTCCTGAGCTATCCCTTAGTTATGCTGCTATAGGCTTAGACTGCTGCTGGACAAACTGACCATGTTTCCTCAAATGAATAGTTTGCATTTGTAATTATTTGTATCTTAACAGGTTTTGTTGGTCTTTCCTCCTAGTGAGGACCTGCCTTTCTGTGTCTGTTTCTCCTTCCTGTTCCCCTCAAACCCCAGCCAGTCGAAGCAGATGGCTGCTTGTCCTGAGCCTGGTTCTACTGGAGGAGAGTTTTTCCTTTCCACTGTTGCCAATGTGCTTGCTCAGGATGGGAGACCGAGACAAAATGAAGACAACACAATCTGCTTGCTTCCTTAGATAGATAACTTTAACTGGCTTTTTATGCATGTGAATATTTCTGTTCAGTGCCCTGACATGACTTCTGTGTGACTTGGCGAGACTTGGAGGGTGTTTCAAATTCGTCACTTCATTCAGTTAACAGTTTTAATGGCTATAAAGTGATTAAAATAAAGTCCGAAGCACAAAAAGGTTCAGATTTTCTAAAAGGAACATGAAGTGATGTAGTTTATTTTGAATATAGAGTCAATTGTTAAGTTCAACCACAAATAAAAAAAATAAAAAAAAAAATATTCCATTAAATTTTAGGTTTTGAGAGAGAGGTCAGAATTGGCCTAATTGAAATCAGAAGATTAGAGCAATATAAAAATAGTTTATTGGCATCGGCCTTAAAAATCTTAATAAAATCGGTCCAGAACGACTGGTTCCAGCTGTTTTCAAACATAAATGTTGGTTTACCCTTGGTGTGGACGAGTGCAGGAAATCCAAGTCAACGCTGCAGCTGCTGCCGTGGAGCGCCATCATGGAGGCCTGGAACGTGTCGTCCTCCATCCCAGAATAGGTGTGATCCAACAGCGCCTTCTCGTCAGACAGGTCCCCGTCACTGGTGTCAATCTGGGACAACGGACGACAGGAACTGAAAACACTCAGCTTTAATTCATTTGTAAGCTACAAAAAAACTGAAAGAATCTGTCTATAATCCCAATTTCACAAATTATTAACATTTTACAGTTAAAACAGCATAAACACATCCCTAACTGCTCCACTCTTGGTGTTCCGATTTGTCACGTTTTCCCAAACGCTAACTAACCAATGCCGGCTCTGCTCGGTAAAGGACGCCCTCAGTCAGCTCTTCCTCCTCTCCTTCTTCAACCAAAATATTGCTGAAGTCAAATGAATGGATGATGGTGGATGATGGGGTTATTTCCTGCTCACCATATGGGTGTGGAGAGTGGGAATATCCACATATTCCCTAGGAAAGTGGAGAAAGTCTTTCAGTGTCTCCAGCTTGAATTAAAACTCTACTCTTAGCATGAGTTAGTATGGAATGGAAATGGAAAGCAAGTGTTGGATTAAATGAACTGGTCAAACAGAAGATCAAATAAATAAACGAAAATCTATTTAGCAGAGAAGCTGTTGAAGATATCAAGGTTTTTTTTTTTTTTTTTGCTTAGTAAGAGCTCTCGGTGTTGATGTATATAGCATGCAGCTCAGACAGATAGATATACATGAAAAGTAAGCAGGCACATTAGGAGGATTACACACATCAGACTCAATTTTGAAATGCAATACAACAAAATACCCCTCAGAAGTACATTCCACATCCTGCAGGAGAGCTTCCTGCTGCTCAGTAATCCAGCAAACCCCCGATAGCCCAGAGGTCTCGCTGAGTAATCCCAAGGCAGATTCAATACGAGCAAAATAAATAAATAAGATAAAATAGCTCTACAGCAGAAAGAATGCAAGCTGGGGTGGTTTTTTTTTTTTTTTAGCAAAACATAACGGTCAAAGAGCTAGGAGCGACGAACACGCCACTGGACGGAACAACTATTCTGACAGGTGACTCGGTGCACGTAAAGAGGGTGGAAGCTGCCCTTGGAAAGTTTAATAACAAACCGTGACGCTGAGCCGTTTTAGATTGGGCACCTGTTTTTCACTGTACGACAGGTGGAACGTTACACCACACAGCCTACCTCCACCTTTTCCAGCATGAAAAATTCAAGCTCTTGTAAGCTGAGCCGTGGTGGCTGGGCTCTAAGTTGGGTAACACACAACAGGGGAGTGGTGGTGCAGAGGTTAGAGAGGGTGGATCTGTGATCAGAGGGTCGCCAGTAAACTCCTGGGACCAACAACATCAAAATGTGGGTAGAAAACATGAAACATCTGCCTCCACCCTCATTTGCCCCACTCTGGGCCCATGAGCAAGGCCTTCACCCCCCCACCCCCACCCCAGCTGATCCCCAGGTGCCTTAGATGGCAGCCCACTACTTAACATGTGTTCACATGTGCAACGAGAAAATGCAGAGAATTAATTTCTGCATTAAGGATTAATAGCAGTGTTTTCTCTACCATTATACAAATGGGGTGTCCCGCTACGGAACACTCTTTCCCCCCACCACCGGTCGACAACTGCTGGTAATGATGTAGCGCATAGCGCAATACAAACGCGCTAGCAAAAATGCTACTGACGTAGTGCTCCGCTACCACCTCACCCCACCCCCCATCGATAATTACCGGCAGCATTGTAGCGCTAAGTTACCGGGCGGGCAACACACAGTGACAACCCCCCCACCCTATGACAAAAGCCGGCAGCAATGTAGCGCGAAGCTCAGGTGGAACAACACACATGTGACTCCCCCCCACCCCCACCCCATTGTTTATAAAACCCAGCAGCAACATAGTGCTAAGCTAGCAGGCAGAACAACACACATGTGACTCCCCCCCACCCCCACCCCGTTGTTGATAAAAACCAGCAGCAATGTAGCGCTATGCTAGCAGGCAGAACAACATACATGTGACTCCCTTTCCCCCCACCCAGTCGTCGATAAAAACCAACAGCAATGTAGCGCTAAGCTGGCAGGCAGGCAACACACACGACTCCATCCCATCCCGGTCTACAAAAATAATAAATAAATACCTCGAGCGCCCCGCCAATGGAGCTGATCTGGGGGAAACACTGCATAGAGTACAATAAATAAATCAAAAATAAAAATAAAGCCTTGCTCTATCACACGATCCACACCAACGTTCTCATTCAAACACATCAAACTTAAAGAGTGGCGCCTACAGGCAGCGGTTTGGCAACCCCGATCTGAACCATGCCCAGTTTGGCCCCCTTCAGGGCCAGGACGGCGTCCTCCAGGCTGGCGTTCTCCAGGTCTGTGGCGTTCACATACATGAGTCGGTCTCCTGGCAACAGCCTGCCATCTTTCTCCGCCACGCCGTTCGGAACCAGGGAGCGGATCACGATCACCGTCTTGGTGGGGTCTAATGGGTCCTGTGGAAGAACAGTGATCTTTTGTTGAAAAGTTATCCAAAGTGAATGAAAAAAGTGGAGAGAAATGACAAACACCAAGTTTTCTTGAAGAATTCCCACCTGGTAATCCAAAATACTGAATCCCAACCCCCCTTCTCCCTTTTCCAGCTCAATATTTTGGATCTCCGACTCCCACATGGCCAAAGGAGCTGCTAACGCCTCCTCTGTCATACAATCCTGTGTCGCAGTAACAGTGTTCACCTCTGAGTCTTCAACTACCACACTGCTGAGCTCGATATCATTCTGTAGACAGGAAAAAAAACTAAAATCACAATCTAACACCCTGCCATCGTTATTTTCCTCCCCAGCCCGTAGGCTCCTACCCTGTAGCTGTGTTTGCAGCTCAGGTTTCTGGCGGTGGTTAAAAGTGAAATATCCTTGGGATTCTGGGGCCTCAGTACATTATCTCAGATAGAACTACAGAGATAAAAACCCTTCTTCCCCCAAAGGGGATAATATATTTGATGTCTCGGATCTTCAGCAAAACGATATTGGCAGCTGCTGAGGCATTGCTGAAACCAGATCTGAATAAAATAATCATAATAATCACAGAGGCTTAAAGCGGCTGAAGGTGCAGAAAGTAGACGGAGCAACTTTAGAGTCAGACTCTGCTAATAACGGTTGATGTGTTACAACGCAGGAGTGCCCCCTCATGATTAGGTTACCTAGCGTCATTAGCATGGCCATGTTTCAAATTACAGCATGAATGTAAAATGGACAATAACTGTTAAAGAACCGTGTTTAGAAAACACGAGGCTGCGTTAAAAAGATAATTATTGTGTTAAATCCACATTTTTCTCATATTTGTTGTTCAGGTTGTGTGTCTCAGTTTGGCTGCATGTTAGCAAAATATCTGATTGTTTGGATGAAACCAAATAAAACTCCTTAAGTATTGGATCAACAACTGATTAATCAAACCAATTCAAAATGGCTGTCACATCTGATCAACCTTAAAAAACACAACAATGGTTATTTCTTAGTTTTTTAAAGGTTGAGCTGTTGAGGTGTGGTAGTAGCTGAAAGTCATCCTTAACACAAACTCAAAGTACTAACTGATGTTTTCCAGATTTTTGAACCAACTCTGTCTCTTAGCGAAATGTATTTTAAAGCTTTGAAGGGATTTAAATTAATCTTTTGAAGTTTAAACTGCTCACACAAAGTTGGACTTTCCATGAATGAACTGATCCCTTTGTGGTTTTTAGTTAAAATTTAGTGATTTTGAGGGATTTTCCCACCGAATGTTCAACTTAAAGAGTGATGACGCACTTTAGCTGTCTAAACTTTTATAAATATTTACAATCTAACTCTTTCCACTCCTGTAGATGTCACTCTTATATAATTTACACAGCAAAACATCTGCATTTTTGTCTTCTTTTACCTCGTTTGTCTCTTATACTTCAGAGATTGTGTTTTTTTCTTAAATCGTCCCAGAATGCTAAGAACTCACAGCCAAGCTAACAAAGTCCATGCTCTTACAGAATTCTAGCTCGTTTTTTCCCTTTAAATTCTGAAAGTGAACTTTTGTTTTTAACTTGTCACATCTCAATCACAAAACACTTTGGACACATAACAATATTTGTGTAGGATGACCAGACCTTTCTGTCACTTATAGTTCAGGACGATTTTTGATACAACTTGTTGTTTGAGGCTTACTTTTTACTCCGCGGTTCTTTCTTCCTCTTAATGAGTGTGTAGTCTGCATTTCTTTTTCCAAATCTCAGTTCCCTTTACTCATCTTATACAGTTTATACAACCAAACATTCTGCCAGCTTAGATTATTACAACAGTAAGTCCCTTTTTTTATAGTTGCAGCTTCGTGCACTCCGCCCATCTTTCGGATGACTGTACGTACATGTTCGCGTTGTATCTCAGTGCAATGCTAATAAAGTTTATTCTGATTCTGATTCTAATTATTATTGACGTTTGTAGAAGAAAGTCATTGTATGTTGGATTTTTGGACAGTAGCTGCTTGAAACATACAGTACCTTTAATGTATAGGCTGTGGACAAAGACTCTGAATCTGGTTGGACGGTGTCCATGTTGGTCTGAAGATCAGGAGCAGGTCTACAGCAGGTCATGTAGACACAGACGGGAAGTTCCTTCAAGATTCTTATCACCTCTTTGTGGGTTTCACCAATCAGGGAAATACCATTGACCTTAACAAGTAGAAAGTACTTTTAGTTTTTAACTCTAAGCTGTGTTTGTTGACCAGATCTCAAAAGTCTTGTTTTACTTCTGGCCTAAATTAACTTTTTGGCACTTTAAGATTTACACACGTTATGGTTACAATGCCTTTATTAAATATAATATACAACATCTACTGTCCTCATATGTTTTGATTGGTTTCATTGATCAATATTTTCTTGCATGAAGGCAGTAGAAATAGTCACATTTTGAGTTGCTTGTGGCAACAGTAACAGTCTTAATGTTAATTAAGGTTTACCTCAACTAGTTCATCCCCACTGAACAGCTTGCCACAGCGACCAACGGGTCCTTCAGGAAGGACGGAGCAGATGTAGTGATGACCACTGTTGGCGTCTAGACTGATGCCCAGACCGCTGCTCTCGGTGAACTTCTCCACCTGAGCCACCTGCCAAGGAAACAAAGAATTATACTGAATCAGCAACAGCATGTAAATCCTCATATCAGAGTCAGAGTGAGCTCAGGCTGCAGTGGAAAATGAGCGAAAATAACGTCTTTAAATTATTTAAGATTTACATAAAAACAGTCTATAAAGACGCCACCTAGCGATCCTGGTAATAAAAACAGCATCTATTCTTCCCAATTTACATTTAAATTCAAGTTTTTTTAAACAGGTATGTCTTCAGAAATTATCATTTTATTTGAATTTTTAGTTTCCAAGGAAATTGCCCAGTTTTCTGCCCATGGGAGATCCCTTCGTATAAAGTTCGGCATCATTGTGAACCGAAGGAATTCCCCTTTTAAAATATAGGGCTGGAATTCCCAGTGACATCACTCCAGACCAATAAAAATCCCTCTTGTAAACAAAACTAGCTTGTTGACAGACCAGGTGATAAACCACCAAATTACGACAAACTACGTATCATTTAGGAGCTTTTCAGATGAAATACTGAAAACACACACACGCGCACACACGATCAGGTGATAAGGACAACTTACTATAACTTCATTACTAGGACCGAGGATCTCCAGCCACTTCTTCTTCAGTTCTTCCTCTTCAAACGGAGTCAACTTCAACTCTTATAAAACAGCATAAAATGAAAAATTATTTTGCACCATATTCACCATACAAACACGTTAAATGATCATGAAGCACCTAAAATATGTACTAAAAAGTGATTTGATAATACTTTTATATGCACCATTTTTTACATATTTTGCTAAGCTGTTGTTCAGCACCCATCCCAGCATTGTCTCACACTGTCTTTACGTCTTTGCGGTCCTAAACAATCGTCCTTATCTGCCACATGTGTGAGCAGCGGCTCTGAACAGCCTCTTACCATGTTTGTCTTTTGGTGGCTGATCCACGGCCGGGCCGACATCTGATCCTTCACATGTTGTCAGGTTATGCTTCTCCACTGTGGTGACTGCAAACACACATCGAACGGTGAAGACACAGACGGGCACACAGGAAGTACACATCTCAGAAAAAAAAAAAAAAAAAAAAAACACAGTGAAACTGCGAATTTAATCAAAATATCAACTAACTTTTGTATTCAGGTTGAAGTTAGATATCCAATACTATTTATAAAAGGGAATGCTGATGATTTTTTTCCACTTTTAGTGTATACAGAAAACAGGCGTCTTTGTTTATGTTATTTAAGAACAAACCAGGACTTTGATACCGAGGGTTGGTGGTGATAACATTTATTTTTTAGATGCAACACATCGAGTACAAGGTAGATTCTGAATCGGTTTTTGAGCGTTATTAAACAATGGTTTTAATAACATTAATCTGCGCTGCCACTTTAAGAGCGGAGAGGTTGACGTTTGTTCTAGTCAAGTTGCTGTAGCTTCCAGTAGAAGCAACATGTTGCAGTAAAGCTGTGAGTTTTAACATATTTTTAATGTCATTTTCGCTGATTATGAAAAAAGAAAACGTTTATCGTAAAGTAATAGTATAGTAATGATTTGAAATCCTGCCTCAGATATTGGTTTCTCAGATCACACTGTTGGTTGGTTCTCAAACTATCTCTCAGGTCGGAGGCAATGTGTCCGACGTACCGGTACTTCATCTAGCTACCTAACGGTTATCAATGGTGTGCCACAAGGCTCAGTTTTAGGTCCCACTCTTTTTCAATTTATATAAATAATGTAGGTCAAAACATTCCTGACAAATCCTTGCATCTCTAATGATGACACAGTTGTTTATTGCTGAGCTAACACAGTTGCCAAGGTTTTCCAGCTTCTACAGTCTGCATTTGACATCATTCAGTCAGACTTATTCCATCTCAAGCTGGTGCTAAATGCTGACAAGACCAAAGGGATGTTGTTTTCCAAGAGAAAGTTGGTGCAAGCAACTCTTCCTCCTATCTCATACATGCACTGTGTTCCTATTGAGTTTGTAGATTTTTACAAATACTTGGGAATTTTGGTCGATGCACATCTTTCTTTTAAACCACATATTGAAAACCTGATTAAAAAACTGAAAATAAAATTGGGTTTCTTTTTCAGAAATAGATCTCGTTTAACACTGAATACCAGAAAACGCCTTGTAACCACTACCTTCCCACCAGCCATTGACTATGGTGACATTATTTACATGAAGGCCCCTGCCAGCTCCTTGCAGATGTTGGATGCTGTCTACCATGGATTCATTCTAAGATTCATAACTGGTAACTGGTTGTAACTACTGTACCCACCACTGCACTCTGTACTCATTGGTCAGATGGTCATCCTTATCTACACGTAGGCTCTCACACTGGTACATTTTTATCTCTAAATCCCTCCTTGGTTTGTTACCTTCTTATATCTCCTCCCACATGTCACGCCGTCAGTGCAGTTACAACATGCGCTCTCAGGCCATCATTACCTGCAGCGTTCCCTCAGTGCGGAATGAACTTGGCAAAACGGCCTTTTCCTACTCAGCTCCTGTAACCTGGAACACCTTGCAACAGGAACTGAAGTTGCCCACCCTTATTTATTTAAGGGGTTTCAAACATTTGATAATGTCAATAGAAAAATTAAAACAAATATGTTCTTGTTTTTAGTATTTTTTTATTGAACGACAAATGTCCTAGTAGAAGAAAGTCAGAGATATTTCCCTTAATTTCATTTTCTGACCTCACTTCCTGGTTTTAAATTAAAGAAGTTCCAGAGAGGCATCCACTGAAAGTCAAATAAAAGTATGTTGTGTCTCCTTTCTTTAATAAATTCTAATATATACACAAGTCCAAACCCTAGAATTGTTGTTTTCTTAAACAGTTTGGAGAAAAAAAGGCTTGCTAAATGTCTTCCATCTGTTTGGTGTCTTTGTGCAGGTTTTTGGGCTACAATTTCCTGTTGCCAAATCTAATCACTTCTCATATCCATCTATCACTGCTGACACTAAGTAAAGTATGCAAGCAGCTTTTCTTGCTTCTGCACGAGCCCGGAGGTTGAGTCAGAACAGCAGGAGACGGAAACTCTTCAGTTTACTGTCAGTCTATCTTTTTTATTGCCAATATTGTAAAAAATCTAATAAAACAAACATGACATTTATATGAACTTCTCCTGCTGATCTTCTAGTAAATAAACTGAACTCAGAGTTGGAGCAACATGAGAGAGGATTTAAGGTTATTTTTGTCAGATCTGTGTCTTTTAAAAATTTTTTTTAATAAGGTCATTTTTAGTGAGTTCAAACAAATCATTTAAATAATTTTAATTCCCGTTTTGTCTATAAAGCACTGTAATCCTCAAAGGAACAAAGTGATGTCCAGCACAAAATCAAGTAAGCACTCATTCATTCATACCATACCATTTTATTTATAGAGCACTTAAAACAGCAACAAGGCCAACCAAAGTGCTGTACAGACAGAACAACAGGTAACACACAAAGCAAAATACAAAATGAAGCAAATCAGAAATATAGACATAAAAACGATGCGGATAATGACAACAAACCAGTGTGGAGCATACAGGTTCAAAACACAGATCATCTGGTGTTGAAAGCTACTGAATAGTAGTGAAATTTTTAAATGGGACTTGAAAACCGAGAGGGAGGGGGCCTGTCTGACAAGCAGAGGTAACTCATTCCAGAGTCTTGGTCCTGCTACAGTGAAGGTCCTGTCACCTCTGCGCTTAAGACGAGTTCCTGGAACTGTGAGGAGCAACTGGTCCGCTGACCTCAGGGAACATGGTGGGACATACGGTTGTAGCAAATCAGAGAGATGGGG